AGCTCCCTACTGAGAACCCGAGCTCCCTGCAAGGAGCACGAACTATACTAGGCCCCAAGCCTCACAAAGCTGTGACCCGAGCTGGCCCATGGCAGCTCGGAACACTCCCTAAACCAAACTCAAGACACCTCGCTCGCCACTCCACTTCGCTTCCGAAACACCAGGTTGACCAAACGTACCTGACACCAAGGACGTCTGTATCCAAGGGTGACGCACTTGACTGATTTGGGATCTGACGCCTGACAGCCGCACTTCAAACGGCCTCCTGCAACCGCCACCTGCAACCATCGTTACTAGCCGCAGAGACGGCTCCGACAAAAGGAGCAGTGGCGGTTCTGTCCGGCCATAGAAAATGACATCCGAACTGGCAGGGGTTCAGAAGTAATCATGCCCGATCTGACGGAAGCCTGGAAGTGAGTGCGTGAGGTGGTTATAAAAGGCTCCTACCCCTCAGGAATGAGGTATGCTAACTTTTGCACTATTTGGTCTATCTTGCCTTTGAAAGACTCTAACTTGAGCTTCGGAGCCCTTACGCCGGGTTCTCCCCGGAGCTTCTCTTCTCCTTCCGTTTCAGGTCCCTGCCACTCAGTTCAGAGGCAAGATCGTTGACAGCTAAGATCGGCCGGATTGTGCATCATCAAATAGGAATCCCCGATCGGGGTCGGGGATGGGGATTGAGGTCCCCACCMCGCCCCGACCCTGATTATGTATATATATATATATTAAATATATATTATATTATATATATCAAAACATATTTAAAAAAATATTTATAATTTAAATTTTTATTTATTTTAAAAAAATTATTTTTGAAATAAATACTATTTTCTAAAAAAATTTAGGGATTTTGGGGTTAATTTCATAATTAGAGTTGAGAACAGAGAATATGATCCCCACCCAAAACCCGCCCTGTTGCCATTCCTATCTGTCACCACTATGCTTCATCTTGAACAGGGGAGTGTTCGGGATCTCAATAGTGACGAAACAAAGAACATAAGAAGAGGAAAATGGAGGAAAAGACGAGAGAGAAAAAAAAGGGAAAGAGAGCGAGGATGAGAGACTAAAGGTGGTCTGAAATAGGAGAGAATCCACCACTGATTCACCGCCGCTGCCAAAGAAGAGAAAAATACTCGAAAAAAATGGGTTTTATTTAACTAACGGAGTAAAACTTCCCTCGCATGCTTCCACCGTTATCGTATTTATTTGTCACCATTTGCATCTCGTCATTTGTTCGAAACTTATTAAAGATGAAAAAAAGATTTGTTTGTCACCATCTGATTGGTGGCCGATGGTGATGTATCCCTTTTCTTTTTTCAATAACTAAAAAGTGAGGTAGCAGGTAGCAGCGCTCTCCATCTCCATTCTCCACATTCGTACCCGCCGCGTAATACGGACACAACTGGGTCCCACGCTGAACTCACCTTTTCCCTTTCCCTTTCCCTTTCCCTTTTCCCAAATAATAATCGAAGGCCCCTCCCTCCCTAACCTAGTCCCCACCCACGAAAGCAACTCTCGTCTCTGTACAGAATTCGCATCAGCTCCCCATTGACCGCGCTTCACACGCACCCTACATCTCATCGCAGCCGTTTATTGAGAATATTTCCTCATGACAAGAACGTCTGTGAGGCGCCAATCTGATCTCCTCTCTACCAACTACAAACATGTAATGATACCCAATATTTTAATTTTTACCCAAAAATAAAATAAAAACCATTAACCATGTACGTAGCGAGCATTAAATTATTAAAGTTAAAAAAATAAAAAGGAAAAGGAAAAGGAAAAGGTCTTCGGGCCTTGAGTGGGCCACCCCCATTTTGTATGGACTGGATGCTTGAAACGTGGCGCGTCCAAGTAACGCTGCTCTGGTGGCCGCACTGCTGATAGGGACCGTCGCGCGCGTCGGACTCTCGCGGTGCTTGGCATGTTTCCTGTTCATTCGCCGTGTAAATTGTAATTCTCTCTCTCTCTCTCTCCAGGTCAACTCAGATATCTTGTGTTTTTTCTTCTTCGTCTTCTTAATTCTTATACTTTGCACAGAACTTCAAGGGTTCAGAAGCGCCATTTCAGCTTTGGTTTCCCGAACCCTAGCTTTGTTCTCTCTCTGTAGAAGCTGGGGTGGAGGTCGTTATGTGTAAGTGAATCTGAATTCATGTATTCTCGCTTTCTTTTTTCCTTTTAATTTCTAATTTTGGTCTATTCTTCTATACGTTTTGCGCTGATTATAGAGATAACCTCTGTTCCTTTCTTTTTAAATTGACACTTCTGAATGGTTGATTCTACTATTACTGTCCCTTAGTGGCGGAAATGATGTATGTTTATGCAACGAGTTCTTTGCTCTTCTTCTTCTTCTTCTTTTCTGTACCTTATCGTTTTTTTGAATAAAGCTTTATTATTATTATTATTATTTATTTTTTCTTTGGGTTTTGAACCTTTATTGAAGTTTTCTTGTTAAATTTTTGGATTCAATCTCGGTAACGGCCTTACATAAAATGGAGATCTGGATATCTTGGGTTTTAGCTATTGGTATTTCTCTTCTTTTCGTCGTACCTGGAAATTCGGATGAGAAATGGTTGGTAGACAATTTCAAGTTTTCTGAATTCTTGAGTTGAAGTCTGGGGTCAAGAATCTAAGTAATGGAATTGAAAGAGTATCTAAATTTTGCTTTGTGATAACCTTTTTATTATCGGAAGATTTCTTTTGAATTATATAAACTCAATTTCACCCCGTTCTCTTGGGAGTGCTGTTATCTTTTCATGATAAGATTTTAGAGAGAACGAACTCCCTGTATCTCGGCTTTATTGATTTTACCTTAGTCCATCGCTAAGCCAGGAGAACCATATTTATTAATTATTGTACTTCATCGGGTGTGTTCTCCCGAACCCAGGTCAGAAAAAGCACTTTTTAGCTTAATAAAAGACTTGACATTGAGTACCATTTTGACCCTTTTGTTGCTTTTTAGATGTTTCAGCTTGCAGAAATTATTATTATTGCTATTATAGAAAGGAAATGAGTTCCTAAGCTAAAAATTATTTCTCTGGAAGGAAAAGAAAAAGGGAGAAAGGCCAAACGGTTTATATGGAACTATATTGATGATTAAAATCTTAGAGTTTATGTTTCCTTTTTTATGCTTGGTTTACTTCATATTAGTTAATAGTTATTGCTTTTATTGCCCTTAGCCACCACATTTATTTTCTATTGAATATTATTAGAAGAGAGATATGCACCTGATAATTAGTTAATCCTTCCATCTTCCTTGCATAGTGAGGGCTTCGTAATCTTATCTGTTTTTAAAAATTTTGTACACCAATTCATTATTATCCACCTAGATAGCAAAAAGGGTAGAATTTCAGCATCTAAAGAGAAGAAATATGAGGATCATTTTAAATATTTCCATTTAATGTGCTAGTTTCTTTGAGGGAAGAAGTGTAATGTTATTTATAAAGAGATTTAATTACTAAATATATTGATAAATACAAATATACAATGATATTTAATGCACTAAGGACTTAAGGAGCAAAAAGATGTTGAGGAGAATAAATTACTTCTAAGTTGGATGGGTAATTGGGATGCAACCAATTGCCTTATGTTTGTGCTTGGGCATTAGGTGTTGGGTATTTTTCTCAGGATTTGCTTACTGATGTGAATTGCTTATGATTCATTCCGAACTTGAATTTCAGGTAACTATTGAATGGCATTCAACTGAGGTGTTATTAGAGACCACATGAAAGAATGGAGGAGGCAAAGGAATCTGGCAAGCATATGGTGCTCGTTGTGTAAATAATGGGAAGAGTGGTATTTTTTTTTTCTTGTTTACAGCTTCTTGGGAGTGTTTGTATATAAGTTTCTGTTTCTGGGTTTTACATTCTTTATGATTTCTTTGTCTTTTAGTTACTTCATATGTTAGTCATGTCTAATGGCCAGATAAAAGCATTCAAGCAACCAAATCTTGGAACTACCACAATTATACCCTACTCATGGGTTCATATGTTAAGGAGAAGACCTCCATATTTGTGGCAGGTGTGCAATTTTCATGATGAATTTCATTCTTTTTTTCTTTTGTCATTAGTGAATTTCATCTTTCTTTTTATTTTACATATATGATTAAGTAATAAATTAGTGCATCTAAAGGGATGCTTGATGATTAAATAATAAATTGGAGCTCTTGTATAGAACTTAATATTGTTGAAGCTTTTCCTTTTGGTGTTTAACGATAACTTCTGGTTCCTCTCTTCATTTCTTGATCGAATTATTTGATTGAACCATTCAACTATTACAAGCTTTTCTTGTTTGGGTTATATTGCTGGTGGCCCGGAGTAGTTTGCCTTTCTATAACCTTACTAAGCAAAGATAATCCAATCAAAAGAAAAGGTATTGATGGCAACAACAACAAAAAACAACAACTAAAAGATTTCAGCTGTATGTTGGAGTCTTCATGCTAAACTGCCCTTGCAGTAAAAGAATCAACTTGTTAAATCACAAATTCACGATCTATCATTATCACTTATTCACGGGCCGGGCTTCGGGCTTGACTTACACTCTATCAGGCTTGGGCTTCGGGCCAGGCCCCATTCAAAATTTGGCAAAAGCCAAGCCCGAGCCCGGCCCATGAACAGGTCTAATTGGAAACATTTGCACTGGAATTATATATCCTCATTTATTATAAACAGTGCATATATTCTCATCTTTGGTGCTGTTTGTGTTTTAAATTAGCTGGCCATATAAATTAATATTTGATTCACAATGGAAAAATTGTGAGGAAAATATGATTAAAGAATATGCTCATGGTCTTTTTTGACAATGAATGAATATCATTTTTATTTTTATGATAGTGGTGCATTGGCTTTCCAGTGTTATTGTAACATCCTAAATGTTGAGCCAAAAGGGTCATGCTCCAACTCAATCTTAGTTGGATTGATTAATTGACCTAACTTGATAACTTAATAATTATTAAGTAGAACTTTAAGCCCTGTTCAGGTGGGAGATAGAGGGGGCTGCATCAGATTATGAAAAGTTACCAAAAATCATAAAAAATCACCCTGATGCAATCACCGAGCACAAAGTTATGGCCTCCAGAAGTTTTTGCACCTCTTCATTTTTTTCTTTGTTTTATGTATGTTGATGGACTTGGCCTCCATCCTTGTTCTTTTCCACCATCTAGAATGCAAAAAGGCACCTAAAAACCAGTGGTCATAGGTTACAATAAAAAATTAAACCTTAACAATACAAAAACATAATGCAATTTGTAACCTGTGACCCATTGTCTGGGTCAAGTGAGTTGACAGTTCAACCATCCAGGTCAACAGGTCTCTGACCAAGTCAACGGTTTTTACTGGCTACCAGGTTTGGGGCTAACTCAAACCAGATTTATTGCTGGTTGATGGTTCAAATGGTTTGACCACCCAGGTTAACGGTTGATTGAAAACACTGGTGTGCATGTGACATCACCAATCTTTTTGACCTAATCCATCCGGGTTAATTTGGTCATCTAAAAAGCCTCCTGTTTGACATGCTGAATGGCTCTTTTTTTCCTTGCTTGGACATTTTTGCCATCCTCCTTTCTGGAGGTCTAGATTAAAATGGGTTCAAACTTGTTTATCTGTTAGGAAAAGGCAGAATTGCTACTGCTTTGCCTGAACTTCTATAGATGGTTCACTTGCTATTCCTCAGATATGAACTAGGATTGGTCCCCTTTGCGTGTTATGATGATTTGTAAGAAAGTTGTGAATGTTACACATAATGACACATACTGAGTACTTATAAGCATGCTTACTATTATTGCTTTGGAGTACTTTTTATTATTTTCTTTTCTTTTCTACATATATCTGTAGTCTGAGAATCTCAGAAAATCTTGATAGAAAATTAAAACTTTCTTATTCAAGAAATTTTAGATTCTTGCATGCATTATTTTTCTTTTTATGCTTGCTATAAATTTCCAACTTAGATTACTGTTGTAAAATTTATATAATTTATATTTAAGAGCAATGGTCTTGTTAATTTCCAATCTTGGGAAGATGCATGGACCTTATGGAATAAATGAGCTGTTGCTCATTATAAAGATTTCTGAAGTGATGACAATCATAAATGTTAATCCTTTGCAGGTTCAGTTTCTCTCTATCTCTAAGTGTCTTAAACTCTGTCTTTTCATCTAGTATGGGCTCTACACTCTCTGGTCAAGGAAGAACAGTTCTTGATCACCACAGCGTGTGTGCTCTTCCACCCTTTGATCCAGAAATAATGAAAGGGTATCTAGATCTCCCTGAGCCTTCAGGGGAACTGAGTGTTAGTTTTGGCTATCAGTGCAGCACTATTAATCAGGACAACTCTTTCTTGGTAAAAAATGAGATTGAGTTCTCACCAGAGGTTCAGATCCAAAGCTCCAAAATGAGGATGAGAAGCAGTTCTTTTTCTTGTTTGTCTGGTGCTGCTCTTAGTGCTAATGCTACCTTGGCAAACACAAACATATGCAATGGTATAATCGGAGAGGAAATATTGCCAGGTTTGGATTCTCCAAATTCATTCAGAAGGTTAGAATCCTCACCTTCTCTTGCACGATTAGACCTTTTATCACTGAGTTCTCAGGGTAGCATGTCCACTTCAGGTGGAAGTGTATCTATAGAGAATGATCTCCTTGAAAGTGGAAGGAATTTGGGGAAACCTATGAGTGCTCCTACAAGGATAGAGTCATCCAGCTTTCTCAATGCTATGGATGTGCAAATGGCTGGAGGTGCTGCAGGGGAAGACAGAGTCCAAGCTGTATGTTCTGAAGAAAATGGATGGCTGTTTTGTGGAGTATATGATGGATTCAATGGAAGGGATGCAGCTGATTTTCTAGCTGGAACTCTTTATGAAAATATAGGTTTTTATTTGCATTTACTGGAATGGAGGACAAGGAAGAAATATGATTCATTGGAAAGTGGTTCAGCAGGAGTGGACCCTATCAGGACTGGATTTTCTCGGGCCAAAGAAGGTGACTCTTCTGATTCTGAGAAGGATGGAGCCATCCTTCCACATTCATTTGATAGGGAGTTCCCATCGAAATCCTTCCGTGTTGGTGTGCTGGATTGCCTCAGTCGTGCTCTTGCTCAAGCTGAGAGTGATTTTATGTCCATGATTGAACAAGAAATGGAAGATCGACCTGATTTGGTATCTGTTGGATCTTGTGTTCTGGTAGTGCTTCTTCATGGGAATGACTTGTATATTCTGAATTTAGGGGATAGTAGGGCTGTACTAGCTACGGGTGGTATCCAGGAAGGTAGTTTAGTGAAGGCAGTCCAGCTGACAGAAACTCATACAGTTGACAATGAAATAGAGTACGAGAAAGTTATGGCTGATCATCCTGATGATCCCTCCCCTATTTTTGGGGGAAGAGTGAAAGGGAAGCTGAAATTAACCAGAGCATTTGGAGTTGGTTACCTGAAAAGGGTAATGTCTACCTTATTGTTGACAATAAAGTCTTTCAGAAATTGTGCCATTTATCTTTTACTTACTTATTTGTTTTGTATTTCCCGCAGAAAGAAATGAATGATGCATTGATGGGGATCCTTCGAGTTTGCAATTTATGTAGTCCTCCTTATGTATATACTCATCCATTCACCAAGAGTCATAGAGTGACAGAGAATGATCAGTTTGTTGTTTTAGGGAGTGATGGTTTGTTTGACTTTTTCAGCAATGATGAAATTGTGCAACTTGTTCATCTGTTTATCCAAGATAGCCCTTTCGGTGATCCTGCAAAGCATCTGGTTGAGCAACTTGTTTTGAGGGCTGCTGAAAATGCAGGTATATTTTAGGTCTTCCACCTTTGTCCTCCACATGCCCATGGTGTTCTAGGTCTCTTATTGTTCTAATTAGTTGGTTGCAGCTCTTAGCTTACCATGTTTAACTGGTCTTCTGATTCAGCTTCATGTGGCACTGTTTTAGGGTTACTTAGCATGGCTTTCTTTTACTTGTCAAAAAGGAAAGCATTGGTTTTCTTTGTTTCTCCTTTTATTCGCTTTAAAATTTTCTTACTTGCATTCTAAGTGCGGCAGCACCTTATTGCTACTGGAATTAAAGTGCTGTTTCCATATTAGAGTGGAAAACATACACACAAAAAAAAAGAAAAAAGAAAAAATAATAGTAATAATTTACAATTTTCTCGTTTGCAGGTTTCAGTACCGAGGAGTTAATGAGCATTCCTGCTGGGAGAAGGAGAAAGTATCATGATGATGTGACAGTTATTGTGATCATCCTCGGAAATAAGCAGCGTACATCTACTGCTTCAACATCTTTGTAGGCATGCAACAACCATTATGCTATCCTTACATCATCTTTGTTCAAACCATACTGCACCTTAGATAATCCAGGTTCAGACTGAAATACCTGGTATAAATTGATTGTATAGGATTCGTATATTATGATGGGTCTACATAGTTTGGAATAAGGATCTGTTCCAGAATGGTTGTAATGTAGTGCAAATCAATGATGATTTGGTTTTTGCAGGAAACCATACTCATCACTCCACAGTTCTTTAACTCCTCCCGTTTTCTCTACATGGGTGATGGGTTGGGATGCTTCTCTCTCTCTCTCTCTCATTTGTGTTCTGCTCTCTGCACTGCAGTAACATTTCCAGGGAGTAGTGGTTTCCAGAGAACAAAGCGTCACAAGCCTCGTGCGTAATTGCCATTGGGTTGTACGAAAAGTGCAAGAGATTCAAAGAAACCCCAAACTAATACTATCATGAATGTAACCCGTATCATAAAAGTGGTACTGGTAAGTGGTAACCAATCAGGTGGTGTCATTGAAATTCACCGCCGAGGCGGTTTGGTTTGATTGGTGAAAGCTTTTCCGATATCAACATGGCATTGAGAAATTGTTGGAGTTGATTTTGACGTGATACTTCGCCCTTGGATAATCTTGGACGGTCGGTCCGGCCAAAGAGGGGGATCGAATGAGTATGGCGTGGTAAATGCATGGTCGTAGAACGGTAAGAAAGTGTATAGACTACAGAGGTTTTGCACTTGGAGCTGGGACTTGGGAGGCATCATCATTCATCAGTCACGCTTTCTGGGCCGAGTGGGCGGTAAATTGGGATTTTCTCATAACAGCCACATTCCACCTTGTCCCATGAATAATAAATACGAATATGGGAAATGTTCATGATGTGTGGCTAGGACATGCTGTGAGGGAGATGTTCCGGATGTGTGGTTAAGATATGCTGTGAGATCGGTATGAGAAGCGCTCTGTAAGGAGCAGATCCGGACTCATGGGCGGCTACTTGTCTATCCACCCACGTCATTTGATGCTTGATAGCAGTGCCAATTTCAAAACAGGCAGACATAACAAACGGGAAAAATGAAGTCTCGTAGTGGAGAGCCATGACGGGTTCTCTCTTCTTCTGCCTTCTGGTGTAATGTATCAGAAGATACGCCTAGTCTATTTGGCCATTAAGAAGAGCACTCACCGGAGGCGGGTTAGCTGAAAATAAAAAAAGTTATAGCCTCATAGTGAGCAAAATGAAATTTTCTGATGGATTGCCAAATAAAATTGAAATCACCGAAAACACTGATTTTTGGTATACAGGCGTGAGTAATTTCTATCACGTGTCACATTTGACACCGAGCAATTTTGTAGGGCCAATGTATTAGGTTCGATTAGGCGTGTAAGTTTTATTTCGCTCGAATTTGATTTGAATTTTGAAGTTCGGTTTAAACCGAATTAAATTGAGCTTTTAACAAATTAAACTCAAATAATTCATAAAATACTTGATTTGTTTTTAAAGGAAAATTTTCGATTATTTTGGTTCGAGTGACAATTTGGTCCCCCAACTTTAAAATGTGATAATCCAGTACCCGAACTTTCAAAATGTGACAATCCAGTATCTGTCGTTAACCATTCTGTTAATCAGCCATTAAGTGACATTTGAAAAGTTAAAAATATCCTTTGAATGACATCTAATTCTCTTTATCAACCATCCAAAGGTTGATAAAAAACTGAACAGCCCCAAATCCTAGCCTCCTCTATTCAAAAAAAGTTGGTGATTGTTTAGAAGAATCTAGAATTTGGGACTGTTCGTTTTATTGTCAATGTTTGGATAGTTGAGAAAGAGAATTAGATGGCATTCGAAGGGCATTTTTGATTTTTCAAATATCACTTAACGGCTGATTAACGGCAGGTATTAGATTGTAACACTTTGAAAGTTTAGGTACTGGATTGTTACATTTTGAAAATTTGGGTATTAAATTGTCACATTTTAAAGTTCAGACACCAAATTGTTATTCGAACCAAAATACAGGATACTGATTAAGAATTTTCCCTATTTCTAAATAACCACCACTTGCAAGTAAAGGTGCAACTTGAACAGGCTAAACAGGTTTAAGGTCAACCTAGCATAATTCTAAGTCTTTGGGTCTGACCACTGAGTTGAGTCTAGACCTAGCCCGACGTCAAAATCCGATCTTTTCAACACAGGCTCAACCCGAGCTACAAATTAGTACATTCTGGATCTGGATAGGCATTAGTCCAGCCTCCAGGCTTCGGCAGGCCTACTAGGCCCAAGTTATTGAAAAATTGGAAAAAAAATCAAAAACAATTTACAATTATGTTATCAATTCATATTTAATACTTTTTATAGGTAAGAATTATCATTAAATTTATTAAGTTTTATTTAAAGGGTCCGACTATGATATGGAAAACTATATCATATCTAAAACATCTACTATTGCCACGTATATAGAAGTTACCAATGTATTTAAGTAACAGGTAACTATTTTTTTTATACGTTAATTAAAATTTAAAAAATCCAAAAACACTGACTCTTTAACCTATCCCTTAGCCGATTCCTCCGTTACCCATTCTTATCTTCTTCCAGTTTCCTCTTCTAGTCGAACTTCTCCCTCTCTTACTCGTGTTGAAATCGTACATCATCCAAGAGGTGCATTGGATCTTGGTAAGTTTCTGCTTCTCAGAAATAAAACTTGATACCTTAAACCGAATTTCCAATATTTAAAATAGTTTCTCCTGTTTCATGAATAGTCCACATTCTATTGGTTTCCTTGCACCATTGGATGGAATCTTGTTGGTACATCCTAAGCTGTCTGCGTAATTAGCTTATTCATTAAATTACTTTTTGTTGTTACAACTATTGTGACGGCAGTGTAAGACATACTCCTTGACGTAGGTGCTATGATCATACGAGCAAAAATGTATCAAGAATACATGAATCAGATACCAAGTTCCTTCTCAACGTGCATAAGTTATTCATCTCATGGCAGGGCCTGGGCAAATCCATCAAATAGTTATATGGGAAGCCTCTACTAGTTATCTGACCAATATTCTCCTAAAACAGTGAGACCAATCAAGGATTGGTGCTGAAGATGGACATCGCCCACTGGATACTATAATCCATCCTTGTAAAGCTGAAGCCACCATCTGGTTCATGGAAGAAATTCATAGCCTTACCTCTTCTCATCATCACATAGCTAAACTCTGGCTTTTGGATCCCATGCACAATTCTTTTGTTGATCCCATTTTCCCACAGATATAAATCCCATTGTACAAAACCATTGTTTCTGAACCCGAGCTTAGTCCGCTTGGGCATTCAGTATCATTTCTAGACATTGTTGTACATCTAATATAATGTGAATTCAAGAAGAAATGATGTTTCCTATTGTTGCTTTTTTATAGTTCTGTTTTTCAGGTTGTTACAACGCTTTTTTGAACATCAACTCTTTTGCTATTATTTTTTTAGTTAAAAAAGTTTGGATGCTATCTATCAAAAGTAGGAAGAAATTTTGTCCAAACAAAAGAAAAAAAAAGAAGAAATACTATTTTTTTCTCATTTTTATTGTTCATATGATGTTGATTATCATGTGGAAGAGATAAGTTCATCTGCTAAGCAAGGAAGTAGAAAGGAAAGGGTTTTTATTTTTATTTTTTTTGATAAATTAGAAAGGAAAGGGTGTTTGAATAAATTTTTTCTAACTAGTAGTAAGCAAAAACAAGGATCTCGGAGTGCACTCTGCCAGTAAGTGCAACTGTTCGTATGATCAATGCGCATTGTTGACCCACATTACATTTTCATTTGTTCCATAGAAATGTACTAATTGGGAATGGGGTCCCTCATGCCTTGACAAAAAGACATGCACATGCTGTAGCATGCAAGCTCAAGGATGAATGCCATGTGCCCGATGGTCTATCCAATGCTTTGCTCGATGTTGATGAGTAAGGTCTAGAAACCCAAGCTAGCACATTATTCCATTGACTGAATTAGCATTTGAGGARCCTATGAGGCTAATACGTTTATACGAGTCATTTAGGGGGGTGCGATCCATTATTCCATCATCGGTGTAAGTCAATGAGTCGTGGAACCATCCGGCCCCCATTCATAATCCGAGACTGGAAGAAATTAGTTTACCACATGGATAACTTCAAAGCTGGCATAGATGTTAAATGATAGAACTACCTTCTCTTGTCATGTCAGAAATTAGACAACCTAATCACCCCATTATCCCCAACGTAAGAAGGGGGAAAGAGAATGGTTGCCCACACTACATAATAAATCTCTTCAATAAGTTATTTCCTGAGTCCTGACCACAAAAAGCTTTTTAAAAGAAGGTAAAGGCTAAAGATCTAGATTTGAATATATATATACTTTTAGGCTAACATAGGAAAAAGCAGAGACCAGGAAATTTTTTTGTAAAATTCCAACCTCACAGTTAATCAAGAGTCTGATAACTTATTACAAGCAACCAAAAAAAGCGACAAGGAAAACTTCAAATTCCAGCCCTTTTCTACTTCTTATTTACATCTCTCTCTCTCTCTCTCTCAAAATAGGACCCTAAGCCGGTGAATTGTTACTACTGTAGCGATGGTAAGACAAAAGACTACATGGATGGGGGCTGTCCTGCAGCAGCCTCCTATGAGGGAAGCCCAGACCTCACGCCATTTACTTACATATGAAATAAAATCTTCATCCGACACTCCAGTAGATTCCTTCATGAAAAAAGAGCAACAGCAAGGCAAATAAGATGTGATTAATTACATCAACCAGCATCTAAACCAGTTTGTCACTATGATCAGGACTAGTAAATTAACATGTTTATTTCGTTTCACATTTTGAGAACTAGATGATAATGCACGACTGATAAATGAAGGCAGCATAGGGTATAAGGGGTTATATAGCATTAAAAGAGAGATTCTTGTCAAAGCACTTAACGAATGAAGCACAAAAATTTCCTCTCTTTCATAATATGACCAAGTATGCGTAGCAGGACCCCAACTTGAAAAGCTTACTGCCCAAAACTGCTGATAGTGATTGTAGACCAGATTGTCTGGATTTTGAGCTCAACCTCACGCCAATAGGAGGGTAGGTACCCAGGTTGGACACTTGGCAGAAGGTTCAATTTCTTGCCTACACAGAGAAATGGTTTTTCTTTTTTAATGAGTGAATTTTACACGTCAAAACCTAGGTGGCCCTTGTGTAAAACTGCAAAATAGAAGTAGATGCATGATTAGTACTATCCATCAAATTAATGGACAAAATACATTAAAAGATACAAAGGCTGCAACTTGATTGTCCAATTATATGGCAGTTTTACATGATAAGAAAAAACAAACTGTGAACTTGGGGAATAATGGGGAACACAATTCATGTCCTATTCAAAGAACATCAATGGTCCCCCCAAGCCAATATATCCCCAGTGTTGCAAATCAAAAATATTGTAACTTGTAAGAATTTAATAGAAAAGGTAAAAAGGAAACAATGAGAGTTTATTCTTTTTGTTAAAGGAAAATGCATGTTTTATTAAAAGAGAAAAAGGTAATACAAAGAAGAAGTGATAAGGTGTGTCACCCCCAACACAACACATAGTGCTATCTGGTGAACAATAACAGAGCTTTGGTCCTTTTTGGGAAAAATATATGCATTGTTCAATGAATTCACATAGAAGAAGAGGATTATACCTTACGAACTAATAAAACAAGATCATGAATAAACCTTGGAGGAATGCAGTTAATTCCAACAGCAACAGCTTTCTTACATGAATCAGCAACAGATGCACATTCATGAAAAGAATCTCCACCAACTACATTGACGCCATCCTTAGAGTTGAATGAAAACCATGCTGGAATCTTTATGTCATCTCCCTCGAGAAGTTCAGCATAGCCCTACATGACCACCAACCAAACCAAGAGATAAAGTCAATACCAAACTGAAAAGTTCAAACCAAGTAATACAATGGGATTATCATTTTTGATACACAACTCACCTAATTAGCTCTCAAAGTCTTCAAGTAACTGTTCAGGCTTTTCACAATGCTTTGCCAGTGAGCAATTGCATTTGCCTAAAATGTGGAATCGAAATAGGAACAACTGCCATGAAAGTGAACGGTTGAGGCGGTTGCTTTTGAAATGGGAGAATGATAGAGAGAAGGGGGAGGGTGACTTGTGAAGACTTTAACGTCTTTCTTATCTTGAGATGGATTTCTGTTTTGAAATGTGATTTAAATTCTTGTTTTTAAAACGGTTACCTGAGATAACCCTTATTAACCGAAAATGTTGATTGGTCCATCTCATCCGATATGATATGGAAAAGATACTGTTTCCATATCACAGATTTTCCCTATTTTATTGGGAACATCAAACATGTATCGTTGGGACCCCCACTACTCTATGGCTCTTATTATTATCTATTTTTGATCAATTTGGGGCAAAAAAGGTGAGCAGAATTTTCAATTTTGTGCAAACAAACGACAATGAGAGCGGAGTGGCAAGTGGCAACTAACAATCGTCTTCACTGGACCTGAAGCCTCAAGTCAAGGGTCAAGGCCCATGGGACCCGTTGGACAGTGGGCCTTGACTGTTTGTTGAATGTTGATCCTCCTCTTTTCCCAGTTGCATACAGCCATACAGGTGGTCCTCTCCTGAATACTGATGGGATGGGGCTGGAGTTTGGGACCTGGGGCTGGGAGGCTTCAGAGTTCAGGCAATCAGGCTTGGGAATGGGAATGTGGGATGGCTTTGTAGAAGTAAAAGAGGTAATATTACATTACATTACATTACATTACATTTCATCATGTGTGCGATCTGTATACTTCTAGCTAGCTAGAAGATGATTCAAACGCTAGTTGCGTATTGAGCTGAACCAAGTTGCAAAATAATAGATCAGAGAACTCGGGGTCACTAACCCGGCGAGGTTGTTCCGATGCTTAACTCAATACTATATTATGGTTGCGAGCTGAATACTTGAATGCTTGAATGCTAGTGAGCAAATAATCGTGCGTACCTTTGCCTTGGGGTTTGATGTCCTTATATAGTGGAGTAGTTGTGGATCTTACAAAAAAGCTCTGGGATCTCCAAGCTGCATAGATAAGATCTGTTCCATTTTTGAAGGAGAGCAATGTGTCAGTTGATAAAGTTTATCGTTTTCTTTCAATTCAGGCGGAGTTAGGATGAATCATGTCATGATCCCGAAAAATTCGGAATCCATTTGGGAGGCTTCCGGAATCGATTATGTGGCATTTTGATTCTTTAGCTCTGAGCTGATACTTCGGTTCCTTAGCCCCGAACTGGATTGGGTATCGAGGTGTATCTACACCGAGATGGTTTTTGGGTTGAGGTGACTGAGTGCTTGGGTTCCGATTGTTGCAGACTCAGTTTCTTTGACTGAATTATCACCCTTCAGATCGCGTCCACGTGACCCCTTATGGCGTGCCAAGATCACCCTTCATCAAAATTTACATTGGCGTATTTCTGAATAGGATGAGTCATGAAGGCAGTGTGGCAACTGGCAACATAATAAATTAATGGGACCCACACACACAGAGTGAAAATGGTTGGGTTGCCACTTGCCTAAGCTCTCCTTAGGTAGTAGGTTAGGCTTAAATGGCGCGAGGAGCCACACCCACACCACACGGCCCAGACCTATCACTCTCGGAATGCAGTGCAGAGTGCAGACCTATATCCTTGATATTAATGCCAATGGCAGTTGAATTCGCGTACCCATAATAGAGCGCGTCTCAAGTCTCTCATCCATTTCACACTACATATCGCAGCTTCCCATCTCAATAACAAAAAATCTAAATGTACGGAAGATATTCTCAATGTACTGTTGAAAGGGCGCCATCCGGCATCCGTGAGGATCTCTTGATACAAATCTCTGATCTCATTTCTATTTAACTCTTCACGGCTGAGACCGAAGAAGAGTCAGAGATTTCATTACGACTCACTGGAACCGGAAGAAAAAGCAAAAACAAGGCAATACATTAATAAAAATAAATTAAAATTTTGATTCCTCATCGACTCATCGTACCCTTATTGCTTTTGCCTTTTGGTATTACTATTACCTTTTTTTTTTTTTTTTATTTGTCGATACCCTTTTCTTTTTTTGGGGGCTCGAGCTCAAGAACCTCCTCAACAGCAACAAAAGCAGCGAGTTCTGCGGCCCAATTAATCGCGCACGATAAGGAGGTCTACGATATTGCCTGACGAGGCGTCGGAGTTTTCGCTTCGGTTTCCGCAGATGGATCCGTCAGGGTTTTCGATTTACGCGACAAGACATTCGACTATCATCTATGAAAGCTCCGAGCCCGACACGCCGCTTGTGCGGTTGGGGTGAAACAAGCAGAACCCAAGTTACATGGCAACCATAATCATCGACAGTGGTGGTTCTGGACATCCGGTTTCCGACGCTGCCAGTGGTAGAGTTGCAGAGGCACTCAGGCGCGTTGATATGGAATCTTTCGTCGATGGGTCAACCGGTGGAGGATGGATTGGATCCAATTCTGGCGTATACGGCCGGGGCAGCGATTGAGCAACTGCAGTGGTCGTCGACTCAGCCGGATTGGGTTGCGATTTGTTTCTCGACTAAGCTGCAGATACTCAGGGATTGAAAGCTGGGGTGGAGTCTGAATTATATCTTGAAAAAGATTGGAGATTTGTTATTGAAGATTATCGGGTTTGATTCATTGCCCTTTATTGCTTCTTATCATCTTTCACAGATATGATGTGGCTTTTTTCCCCTTAGTGACGGATGACGGATTATTACTATCTCTGATTTTAGTGGCGCTAACATAGTAACATGGGTCGGTCGGTTGTAGAATTGAAGTCTGTAAATTGGGTTGTTGATTTCTTCGATTTTTTTCTTTAATTTTCTTTTGTTTTCGTATTTAATAGTTTCGAAAGTAGGAATCTTCACCTGTTTCAAGGTTTCAAGCCGAAATTCAATATTTCTGATAATAATGGTATAAAACATGGGTTGAATGAAACATCTGAATTATTATTTTTTCTTTCTCTTTTATTTTTATAGATTTCTTTTATTTCTTGGTTGTTCTTTTGATGAAATTCGGAGTGGGGTTTACATAATGTCTAGAGAGATTGAGGATTTTTATGTGTTTATATAAAGATTTCTCCATTTACAGGACCAGAATTGTTGGTGTTTGTGTTTTAATGGTGTTAACAAGTTAATCTTAAATACGGGAGTATGTTTTTCTATTGCCTTTTTCCTTTTTAATTCAAAGATGTCTTTGGTTTGTTAAGTTCGGAAATTGGGATAGTTGAAATTACTCTTTCAGCATTTCAGTGGAAAATCCATGATGGTTTCCACTTGTTTAGTGTTTCTATAAAAAATTCACTCATTCATTTAAGTTTTTTTTTTTTTTTTTAATTTTTATGGGGAGTTTCATACCTCCCGATGGTTTTGTTCCTTTTCTTGGCGTCCTTCCTGCTTTCTATCAAAAACATCTGCCATATCAGCAAAAATGTGCCGAAATGTTTTGGGGTTGGGGGTAGCCAACATGCACAGGTAGATTGGGGATCATAACTTGTGTACAGGGATGATGAACAAGGTGGTCTAGCTTTGTTAAACAAAGGAAAGGATTAAGTCTGATTCTGATTGCCAATAAGTGGTTCAGGGCAGGGCAGGGTCTAAGTAAGAAGAAGAATTCAGGGATGTTAAACAAGAAGACATCATTTGTCAGATTGTTAGTTCATAATATTATGTTCTGAAGAGATCAGAAACAAGGCGACCCTGTCTCTAACTCAGCATGCTATTCCTCTCCCACCAAATTTGACAATGAATTGGCTATTGAAGAAGCAAGCATTAGCAGATTGATTGGTTTCCATAGTTCAACATGAGATGGCAATTAAGAAGAGTCCTGCACGGTGCCTTGGATCTATGCGTGTGATGTATACTTGGATATTGCATACTGTCTGCTCACTGCTGTGTGAAATGTACATGAGCATAAGAGAGTTACAGCTACTGGTTTATGTTTTGTTTCTGTTTAAAGGGTGGTAAGATGATGAAGTTGGTTGGGCTGGGGGTGTCCATGCATTGGCAGAGCAGGTTTAGGTTTCATATAGTCTGGACCTGGACGTGACCTGTATCAAGTTTTGGAAGTAAATATGGATCTATGGTCTGATGTATGAAGGATATTATTTTCATTCAGCCAGCGGGGTGCCTTGTTTTCTTTGTTTATAGGACGATGAAGAGTAGTAGCATGCCTCTTAGACTCTTTGGAGTTTCTTGAACTTTCAGGTATAATTTGAAGTAATAAATCAGTTCTGTTAGTGATGAGATTCTTCCATTACTTTGATTAGCTAAAGTGTAAACCCATCTATAAGGGCTACTGTATTGGTGATTTGGAGTTGAGAGATGATGTTTAAAAAAAACATTTGATCAAACAATGAGCCTCCTCACTCCTCAGGTTCCATTCCCATGCGTAAATCTCTTATAAATGAAGGTCCTAGACTCGCCTGGCTTTTTAGGCTATAATAACCTGTAGTGGGAACCTTTAGGTTGACCAGATTCCTAACAAAAGAAGAATGGGCGTCAATGGGTAACTCCAGACCAGACGCACGCATGAGAAAGGAAACGAATCACAGCCAGACTTTGTCAAAGGTCGAAGGTTCTTCACTCTACGTCTACGGTGAGGGTACTCTTTCTCTTTTGCTTATATATATATATTATGAGAATCATCATAGTGTATCCCATAAATTTATTCCGAGACCTTTGAAATATTCAGGCATTCAACGAATGGGGAGAGAGAAGGTGCCAGCAGGAGCAGGGTGCCTAAACCTAAAGCCAACACTCAAGATTAGCAGAGCTTTATTTATACATTGACTATTTATAAAGGAATTTTTTTTCCTGTCCTTTCCCAGTGGCATCAAATTCAAAGATGCACGATTGACATCCATGTCCATGAAGACGGTGCAAAGTTGATAAATAAGCAAATACTCATGGTGAAGCTTTTGAAGCAAGTTGACACACAGCCACAAACCCCTGAATAATGCAGTTTTATATTTTGCAATTTAAATAAAAACATTCCTTAAACCCCAAGAATAGAGTATGCGCGTAGGTTCATAAGCACGGAGCTGAAATTATTGGGCATTTCCTTGTAGGTCCATGTGATGAGAGAGAGGGGATGAAGAGAACACATTACCTGCGACTGCGAATAACTCAACGGCCCCCTACTGATTTTTGAAAAAGAAAATATCACATCAATCTGATTAAACAATTGGCGTGTTCAAAAATCACTAGGGATTGTTGAGTTTTTCTACGACCCTGGTTGTAGCCTGTAGGTAATGCTTTCTCAAGGAAGAAGGTAGGTAAATTAATGGCGGAGAGAAGAGAGGGATGCCTTTCTGGCTTTTTCCATATGGTCCATATCACCATTTGGGTCGCTCAGACGACTACAATTGCCCTAAATGTCATCTTTATTATTGCACTTCGCCTTCAATCAAACCCATCTCTCGCCTTCGCCTTAATTTGGCCTGCTGGTGCTGAGAGAGAGAGAGAGAACAGAAAGTATTTCCATTAAAATGAAAAGAGGAGGATTAAAGAAAAGAAACAAACAAAGAATCTGGGAAACCCCTTCCCCTAGGCCAGTAGGCCCTAGCCTTGTTCAAATTAAGTTCAAACTATACATATATCATCTATCCACATGGGCAGTGGGCTATCGCTCTCGGGAAGGGAGGTAAATAGCCTGTATCTGCAATTCTGCATGCTCTCGCTGGCTTGTGGCTTTTCTTGCAGGTTTCAACCCATCGCAAAGCAGCAGCAGCAGCCACTCACATCACGTAGCACCCAACCGTATTTTCATCGCTGAAGTAGTCGCCAACCCTCGTCACTGGCACCGGCAGCATCTGCTGCGGGAGCTGAGCCTGAGAAGATGGTAATGGGTGCTCACAGTAGCAGTAGTGTCGTTGATGATGAAGTGCAACAGCTGCAGGGCCGCTTATTGTGTAATAGGGTGGTAGTGGTAGGGCGGGGATAGCAGAGGGATCCACCATGTAACAGCACCTTGTATGGTTAGAGCTATCATGCACCATGCTTGCTTTCATACCACAGCAATTCACCCTCGTGCTTGGAGTTGTAGCATAATTCATCACTTCAGCAGGGGGAGGACTAGGATTTATATTCTTCCTAACCTCTTGACCACCTCCATTATCGTCCCTCTCTTTTTGATCCTTCTTTGGTCCTTTGTTGTTGCTGCTGCTGCTAATTCCATTCGAATTCTCCTTGACCTTTTCGCTCAAGTCGCTGGAGTTGGCGCATTTTCCTTGCTCGCATCCACCTGATTTAATTCCACCATGATCTCCATCTTTCGACTTTTCTAGTTTGGCCGTCGTCTCTACTTGTTTCTTTTCTTTTTCTGTTTTCCCATTCTCACTTACCCATATTTCTGCTTGCTTTCCGGCTTTCAATAACTTCTTGACGAGAATTTGAGGGTCGACGTTGCCAAGGACCGTGACTTTTGGTTGAGAAGAATCGATTTCTGTCTTTAGAACACCTGTGAACGAACGACAGGCGGTGGGAGTCAGATAATAAGAAATTAAAGCCCAGTAGCTAGAAGACAGAGTAGCGGTCTGGATTTAATTCTATCTCTTTGTTCTTTACCCTCTATGCTTTGTAAAACCTTCTTTACTTTCCTCTTGCAACCTTCGCAGCAGATGACCGAAACCTTCAATTCCACTTTCTGAAAGAAAGCCAGAGCAACGTCGTCTCAGGGCACCAAGTAATAAAAGTAAGAAAGGAAGATTAAAAAGAAAGAAAGAGGGTTATGATGAGAATAGAACCTTAAGTTCTACTTCCTTTGCCATGCCCCCTGGATCTTCAGTAATCTAATGAAGATGGAGAGGAAAGGGCTGGTAGAAGAGGCAATTAGTAAGGAGAACTAGAACATGGAAGGAAGGAGGAAGGAGGAGAAGGAGAAGGGGGTGTATGTGCCAGTGTAACTTATGTGTAGGATCATTGGCTTTATATAGAACACAGATGTGGGGTCAGCAGGTCATGGGTTTCTAATTTTTATTTAGTTTGCTTAATAATCACTCGCCTCTTTTGTTTGTTCCCAACTCAAAAGCATCATTTGGACAGCTTTCTCTGCAAGCCAAGATGTTCAACATCAAACCACTTTCAATGTTCCTAAATTCTTCTCCAACTGTGTGCCAAGCCAAACTTCTAATTGACTTTCTATTCTATTATAAACCTAAAAGACAATATTGGACTTGGTGGTATTTGCCATTTCTACTTATAGCATAGGTGTTTCTGCAAATAACTAATAGGAACATGCAAATCACTCATGTTTGGATTGAAGGTGATTCTCAAAGACATACGGGCTTCTTCTTAAAAAAAAAAAGGGAATAAGGGCGGTTAATGAGCCACTACTAGTTCTTGTGGTTTGAGGTCTGATTCAAATTGCTTCATTGGGTTGTCTTGTGCATTTGAATCTGGAAAGGTCAAAAAAGGGCCTGCTGTGCTGATATCCTGATACTCGTTAACTAACGACCCATATAAAGAATAAGGAAAAGCAAAGGACGAGTTCGTCATTAGACAAATGAGGAGGGACGTATCATATACGTATTTGATTCATAGACATTGGCCCATTGAGGTGGTCTCTATGAGAGGGGAGAAAGTTGTACTCTTTTTTCCGTAGTGTTTTATTTTCATTCGAAAGGATTTAACTTTTGAGATTCCAACTTTAACCATGTGGGTAGGGACGTCTTTTTGTAAACTTCTGGTTCTGGAGTATATCAGGGTTTGCCTCTTCTGTCATAAGATTTGGACAGGTGGCAACTAGTAATTAAACCGAAAAGCAAAGAATCTCCTAAAGCAAACCCATAATTCAATTTACTTGAGTTTGTTGTACAGGTAGAGAACAATTATATATCATTAATTGACACCATATTTCGGAGCCTTTTTTGTTATAACAATTGAAATGTTATTAAGATGAACAAAAGATACATCACATCAAGGTTGAAGCCTACAGGTGGAGGTGGAAACCGGCAAGATCGTATTTCGAAGCCAATTATGTATCGTATCATGCTATTAGCCTCCCTTTGGCTTTGGGTTGGATGTAACTGTGTTTTATTTCGTATAATTTGCTTTTAAAATTAAACAAAATAACGAATGGCGGTAGTTGTAGCCTTTAGGAATAAAATGTTGTATGTTCCTCTGTAATAGTCCTTTTTTTTTGGAAAGAGGGTTGGGTGTTGCAGCCAAACATGGCACAAAGATGATATTCAATTTTGTTCAATTATAGTGGGAATTTGGCTTTTTTTTCATGATTAATTAATTGATGTTTGTTGTATTATTTTGGCATCAAATACTTGGAAGAAACATTTGGGGAGGCCCATGAACTCAATTATATTTTTAAGGCATTGTTTGCTTTTTGATAAGTCACTTATTTAGGTAAATGTAGTTACCTGGGTGAGTTTTTTCTGGAAAACACTTATCCAGCTTTTATTTCTCATGTAAACAACGCAATGACCATTTTAGTCATAAAAATCCATTATTAAAAAGGATATTTTTTGTCTAGCTCAAGTATTGGCAACTTTTCCCCTAGGTGGGAAAGTTATTTATCCACCTAGGAGACGGGTAAATGATACCTAGGAAAATAAACTTTCCCTAATTCCCACATAAATGTGAAAAAAGATGGGATTCTTGGTTAATGGGAACCAAAATCCCATTGACCAACTTTTTCCCCTCTCAGGATCCAAAAAAAGAACCCCTCCCAAATGATAAATTGTGAGAGTGGTACATGCTTAAGCGATATCCAGAAAAATAAACTTTCCCTGCTCCCCACATAAATCTAAAAAAAAGAATATGAGATTCTTGGCCAATARAAACCAAAATCCCATTGACTAACTTTCCCCTCTCGGAATACAGAAAAAGAACGCCCCCCAAATGATAAATTGTGAGAGTGGTAAATGATGGAGGTGAAGACGCTTACATTGTTTGGGCTCAGTGTGGAAAGATTATAAATATAAAATATAAATACAGATAAAAAAAATACAATACAAGGTTTTATGCTCTGCATATTTGTATTTATAGAGCCTAACAAATAAAATTAGCGATGTGGAGAAGAGTGTTGAACGTGAAAATTAAAAAGAAAAAGAATATTTTATATTAGATGTAGGTTCCATTCCATGTTATATTACTTTTAATTAAAATTTAAATTTGATGGATGGATTGAACTTTACCTTCTTCCCACTCTCTCCTTATTCGTTAACAGCCATAGCTAGCCTTTGAATGTGATGGATAATTTATTCCTGCTCCTGTTTCTATGTACTACTTCTGCTCTGCTCTCCTCTCGCCTCTCGAGTGATATATGAATATGACTGACTGATGAGGTTGTTAAATAATGACGCCCAACATAGATATTATTCTATATACATATATGCATGTCCTTTGGCCTTTGGCTACCCAACTTTGAGTTCCTTTTGTTTGTTTGTTTGTTTCTCTAATAATATACCTCTTCTACTTCTAATACAGTAATACTCTAACTAATATAATAATGCTTTTCTATTCTAGGATTATACGCTTGTCCAAGCTCTAATCCTGTGTTTGATTCAAAAGAAAAAGTAAGGAAATGAAAAGGAAATGTATTGTTTCCCTTCCTTTCCCTTCTCTAGTGGAGCTAGGAAATTTCATGAAGGGATCAGAATCTAAGGTGAACGGGGGGAATGTATATGAAATCGCAAGTAGGGATTTTTGGGACCATAAGGGGGCCATGGCTCCGCCCCTACTTTTACTATCTTTTCTTTTAAACCAAACACAGCCTAAAATTTCTTTTTTAATTCACTGGTCACTACTATTTTTTCTTCAGCTGCTTCCTACTTTCTTCTTTGAAATTTCCATCATGTACCGGTTAGTACACTCCCTCTCACACCTTTTCAAATGAGGACTGATTCTACTGGCCCCGCCAGCATTGGATACCCTGTACCCTGGCCTGATAAGAATGATAAATCTGCACAACAAAAGGCAATTAATATTTTAACTAGACAATTTAGATGTTCGTTTGATTTTATGTATTTGGTTTCTTGAGCGTTTATAGATGTAGTGTTTCTCAAATAAACATTTAATTGAAAAACTTTAAATGTTTGTTGTTTTTGTTGATTAGTTAAATTGTTTCAATTAATATCCCATAAAGCTATCTTCCACCTTGACTTAACATTTTTTTTTTTTGTTTTTGTTATTTGGTTGGGCGTTTCAATTAACACCCTCATAAAGCTATCTTCCACCCCAAGTCCCAACTTACAATGCTCTAAGTAAGCATTTCATTTTAATAAACATTAGGGTGTTGGAAGAAGCTAGAAATTGAAGTTTTTCCAACATCTCAAGCACATAAATCCAAGTGTTTCTGTTTTTTGATGTTTATTTGATAAATGCTAAAACCAAACGGTGATTCAATGTACAATAAATATCAACGCCTAAGTGGCACTGATGGTGTTTTTCCAATAAACACACAGGGAACCAAACATAGCCTTTATGAACATATAACTATGGATGATCTATAATTAGAGCCCACATATGCTAGCTTCAGCCTTCAATCATTATCATCATTTATAACCTCAAGTTTTAAACATGTTTCCCCACTTCCCTAGTTATATGTATGTTGTATTTCATGGCATGGTTTTATAACCATTGTTGACTCGGATGGTTGGACCGTTTGGTATAGAAACCGGCCAAGGTACCAGTTTCATTTTAATACCAAACCACTATTTTATATATATAAAAAAAAATCATTGAATTAGTCAACAAACTGTTGACCCAAATGATTTAACTGCTAAACCATTTGACCCGAACAATGGTTTGCGGTTTAATATATCATATTTAAAATCTTCAAAAAATAAACTAACAAAATAGGAATAAAACAATAGAATGAAAAGAGAAAGCTTATTATCTGAGATCAGAGAGAGAGATCAGATCTACTTTCACCACTGTCATTATTGCCATCACTGCTACAAGTGATCATTTTCTTTTTTTTCAGTCTTCTTTCTTTTTTAAGTTCTCTTAGCCGATAGAGCCTCTTTTCACTCTCATTCTCAATCCTATTCTCATGATATTCTAATATTTCAATCCAATGAATAAGATGAGATATACATGATTTTTACTTATTAAAACGTTTGAATTAGCTGACCCAAAAACCAGTGAAACCATGCTTTTGACAACGCATTCATGTTTGGGATTTGTGGCACTGCGTAGCACATCTGGATTCTCTCAATTAACCAATTCAATTGGACCATTGAATTGGTATGATCAAAATTTTAAAATACAATTCAGAAATGGAACTGTTTTTCCTTCTGGGTCAAGGTTCAGTGGTTTGACCGTCTGGATCAAACAAATTAACCCATGATGAACTAAATGAAAATAAAAATAAATAAAAGAACAACAGGTTTTTTCTTCTTATACGCTTGTATAATAATTTATATACTACAGTTTATTTGAATTTGCCAATCAAATAAATAATTCATTTATTCAACACATGACACAGCAGTTCTCGTGAGAATTATAAAATGAATTATGGGCCTTATCAAATTTCAAGACTTGATATTTTTCACCTCTTTTTTTTTTTTTTTACTTTTTGTCAATTGTCATTTTAGTCTTCGATGAGAGAGAGAGGAAGTTTTAGTATGTCAACGTATTCATTTTTAAGCTACGAACTGAACGATTTATTGACTTTTATTTCAACGATTTTTGTTATAACTCCGAGTTAGAAGGTAAACATAACCGGGTTGATGACTGGTTTCTAGGCTGAACTGTTCAACATTATGGTCAACGGCGGTTTAAAAACATTGGGTATGAACAAGGATTAAAGTATCGGTATAAAGTATCATATCGAGTGATTCAAATACGGATACGTTTTGGAAACACATGGATACAAACGAAAGATATAGAAATACTTGAATATGCTAATGAAATGTATACAAATCACATAAATACATTCATCACACTAAACAAAAAGCTGAATTATCTATGAATAAGATATAAACAAATGAAAAATGCATACTTCAATAGGTTATATGAAGAAAAAATATTACAATAAACAATACCATGACTCTAGAACATTTAAACATTGTACAATAATTATCACTCTTTCAATTTTATAATTATAATTTTCAATTTTTATTAATTTTTGGAAATATTCATTAATTTAGTATTTTATTTAAATAACAACCATTTTTAAATAATAAATATGTTTTCATTTTTAACATATAATGTTTTTATTTTACACATAATTGCAAAATAAAATAAATAAATCATTTAAGGTAGATAAAATAAATTATATTTAATTTTCAGTTTTATTAAATGTTTTGAGAAAATTAAATCTTAAATTATTCGTTTCAGTTTTTATAATTATAATTTCTATTTTCCATTAATTTTTTTGGGAAAATTTATTTATTTAGTATTTTTATATAATAACTCTATTTTTTTTCAAATAATAACTATGTTTTCATTTTTAACTTATAATTATGAGTAAAATAAAGTATATAAATCATCTAAGGTAGATGAAATATATTATTTTTATAATTTTTAATTTTTATTAATTTTTTTAGAAAATTAAGTCTTAAATTATTTATTTTAATTTTCATAATACTATTTTTTAACTTGTATTTAAGATGAAAAACAATCCAAAAGTACTCAATGTACAATATTATTAAACTAGACATGGATACACCTCCATATTGATGTGTATCAAACTGTATCCACTATACGACACGATACGACCCGATATAAAAATGTATCATATCAATACGCATGACCCCCTGTATCAAGAGTGTCCATGCTTTAATCCTTGGATATGAGACATGCTTTGACCAATCAAAACTTCGTCAATTTTGATAAATACAATCGCATTGGTTTTTACTCTTTATGAGTTGGTATATAGGTTATAAGTGTTTTCTGTATCATATCTTGCAGCTATCATATAGCACTAAAATATTTAGGTGCTCAGAACACATCTCCTTTAATACAATAACTCTAATAAATCAGGAGAAAAATGAGTGGGCCCTAGAATAAATTCAGCAATCAAGAGAATATATATAAAAAGAAAAAAAGAAAAAGCCATTTTGACTGTGATATCGGAAAGAAAAAATTCACAGCCAATCAATCGGCATCATACGAGAAGTGACCAATGAGGTATTCAAGTGGTATTATATTTATCAAAATTCACAGTGTTTTTCAATATCATAGAATTTTCCTTATAAAAAAAGAAACAGTATTCCGTGTCAAATGGAAGTGGGACTGTGGGACCCAAACAAATAAACACTGATCAGCTCAAAGTCACACAAATTTGTGGTTGAGATAAACCTTTGTCTGACTTGTCTCTCGTCTTTATTAATTATATACTTTCCTGGGTGCTATATTTGTGGTTTATCATCTCCAAAAAATGGCCGGTAAGCATCACCCAATGAATCTCTGTCTCTATTTAGACTCTTTTGGACTCCACGATCAATAATTTTCACAAGAAAGAAGAAGAAGAAAAAAAAAAAAAAGAAAAGAAAAACCAAGAATCAAGAATTATTACATGGCGTTGGATCAACAATAATACAAAGTCTGTCTGTCTGTCTGTCTGTCTATGATAATTTGATATTTTATGTCAGATCGATGCAATCTGCAGGAGACATGGTGATCAGAAGAGAAGATGATCTTAATTATTTCAATGGGATAGGGATGCTCTAATATTGTTATTGGCAGTTTGAGCACCGGCTTAGCCTCAAAGTAATTAAGCTAGCTGCTTGATGACCTGATCCAATTGGGTTTAAGTTGGATGATTACTCACTTCTCACTTCACTTGTAGGGTTATATGCAAATAGAGACAGGAATAGGGATACATCATACATCGTCGCCAATGTACTAGCTAGTAGCATATATAGAATTAGTAGTTAAAATATGGATATAGCACGTAACCCTATAATCCTCTTGGTCTTGGTTTTCGATGTGGCGTGCATTGATATATATCAAACCCATGTATTTATAAAGCACCTCAATCCACCATATGTTATGGCCGCATTACCCATTACGTGGTAGCATATCTTTATACTCTCCTATTAATAATTTTAAGTTTTAATAAGAAAAGTTAAAGACAAATTTTATAATTTTATAATGTGGGATAAATTATAAATGATAGAAAATAAAAAGTTTTATATGTATGTATGTATGTATGTTGTGTTTTGACGTAAGATATACCACACCGTCTCCTGTATCTTCTAATTTTCTTTTAAAAAATGTTTAATAAAATTAATTTCAAAGTGGCTGTTCCTCCACTTAGAATAAAGTTTGGAATTAAAAAAATATGAAATTAAAATAGAATGGAAGACTGGTATAAATTAAAGAAGATTCGTACGTATGACTAATCCTATATAGTTGGTATAGAGCTTAAATGATGATTAGAGTTGCTAGCAAATATTATAGAACTGAACATGATTGAGAGGGCAGGTAGTAGGGGTGGGTTAGGTAGCTAGACTTGAGGTTAACCCTAACTCAAGCCAACTTCCAACGGGATCTAACATTGATCTAATCTAAACTGCCTCAACCCTGACCAACCCAAGGTTCTGAGCCCTAACCCAATCCAACTTTCAACGTGATCAAACTAGTCAGCCCTAACCCAATCAACCTGACCTTTCTCCCATTTTCGTAGAATCTTTCAAATGCTCTTAATTAATCATTGATTAACACTAAACAGAACTTTTATAAAAGGAATATTTCAAATTATTGGAGTCTATTTTTGAAAATCTAAAATCATGAAAACAACAATGATAAAATATAAAATTATGAAATGAAAATCATTAGGGCTTAAGAGTCAAGACAAATATATGATGGCATGTAGCAATTGTAGAGTTGTATTGGGCTTAAGAGTCAACCCTAACTATAACAATGTTGTCAACCCGATCCAACCGAAATTGTAGCCCTAGGCCCTAGCAGCAGCTAGACTAAGAAAATTTATGTGCTAACCATGAATTGAAAACCTTTTCCTAAGTGGGTAGTCGTGCTTGTAGTTAGGGTTGTTTTTTTTTTTTGAATCATCACATAAACAAATACGATTTATTTTCATCAATAAAAATATGTGTGGATGCTGCACAATCTTGGATGGGAACGTCAGCTACGATTGCACCTCCATTATCTACCCTAATATATCATTATATCCCCTACTTAAACATTACTTCCATCTATACAACCTTGTTTTTACTTTCTACTGCAGCTCACAAAAAGGGGACTCCCTCTCCCCCCCCAACTCCACAAAGTAAGGGAAAAAATGAATAAAACAGAAAAAAAAAAAAACAGAGTAGTGACCTGAAATTTAAACAAGTGGCTTCACAGTTCCACTCTATCCATTTGTTGCTTTGTGAGGAGACATAAAGCCAAATATGAACCATTCAATTCTTCTAATCTCTTGCTTTTCTTTTCTTATTTTATTTTCCCCCTTCTCGAACACAGTCAACAGGGTACAAAGTTCCACAAAATAAAAAGAAGATATACAAGTATAGATTCATGCATTTTTTTACCACAATTTTTCGTACCCATCCATGATAAAGGCCCAGGAGGCCCAGGCCCAAAACAATCATCAGGCGGAGCACGGGAGCAGGTCCGTCCGTAACACTGGTAACTGATAAGAGAGTGAGAGACACTGGTCGATCATGGATGATGGGATGGGGGACGGGGGAAGGGGGAAATGATATTAAACGAAGCACAAACCACAGCCATTCGTTGAACGAGAGGCTATCCATAATCTCATCCTCTCTTTATTATCCCCTCCTTCCCCTTACTCCAAAGACTTGGATTCTCACGACTTCTCCTCTGCCTCTGTTGCTATGGCTTCGACTACTCTCTCTGTAGCCAACCCTTCTCTCCAGGTGCTGCTCTTCTGCTCCTTGCTTTGTTATAATTTATGAGAACTTAGTGGGCACTCCCAAATAATACTTGATCATCACCCTTTTGTTGGTGCAGGCCAACGGTAAGGGCTTCTCGGATTTCTCTGGCCTCCGTATCTCCTCTGCTTCACTTCCTTTCGCCAGAAAAACTTCTGATGACTTCCTCTCCGTCATTGCCTTTCAGACTTCTGCGGTACTATCTCTGTCTCTGTAAAATTCTAAGAATTTCTTATTCATGTTACATAAATACAACCCCATGTTGCACCTGAACGAGCATTCCCACAGGGATGACGGCAATAGCTGATTTTCAGTCATATAAACATGATTGTAGAATCAATGAGATCAGTAGCAAGTTATTTGGAACATAGTTGTTGAATGAAGAGAAAACTCTCGCAATTAAAGGTCAAACCATTTCAGGTTTGTGCCGATTCTCCTCTTCAGTCTCAGGGAATTCGGATATGGTGTGGTGTGGTAGTGGATTTGGGTTTTGAGGGTCAGTTAGGTGGGCCAATCTTTGGACGTTGTTTGAATGCATGTTTTTGCAATGTGTCAACATACAAAACTCTGCGTCTCTGCCCAGTGCCCACCTATTTTTTATCCAAAGGCACAAACGAATCGATTAGGTAGGTTCTTGGCGCAATCCAATAGCTAGTACATACCGATACCTTGTTTTGATATTTTGATCGCCGATGACGATGACCACCTGACGACCTAGTGGCTAAGATGGATCAGTCGGTATCCCTCTGCATATGCCTGCATGGTAAGGTCAGTGGTCAGTGGACTTTACTTGACTTGACTCCCCAGTCCCCACCCCTTATAATTCCCCCATGTAACTCTGTAAATCTGTAATGTGTAATATGTATGTATATGTAATACCCCAGCAGGCTGATGATCTCAACGTCAGCGCCACATTTGGATTGTGGATTTGCTCTGCTTGCTCATCATTTGATCCGTAATATTGTTTGGCTCCCTTGTGGATGAAGGTTGGTGGGAGCGGTCAGAAGAGAGGAGTAGTAGAGGCAAAGCTGAAGGTAGCAATCAATGGGTTTGGAAGGATAGGTAGGAATTTCTTGAGGTGTTGGCATGGGAGGAAGGATTCTCCACTAGACGTCGTCGTCATCAATGACACAGGCGGTGTGAAGCAGGCCTCCCACCTCCTCAAGTACGACTCCACTCTTGGCATTTTCGAGGCCGATGTCAAGCCCGCCGGAGATGATGCCATCTCGGTCGATGGAAAGATCATAAAGGTGGTTTCCAACCGTAACCCCGCCAATCTTCCTTGGAAGTAAGCGCCCCATTTAAATCATATATATATATATATATATAATTAACTCTTTTTTTGTTAGGTCATTAAATATATATATGTATTGTTAATTTCATGCATATGCATTAATTGTCACAGACCAAAGTGTTGTTACAAGTAGGATAGTAGGTTGGTGACGGTGTTGGTGGAGATGTTAATTACAATTACATGAATGAACGTTGGTTGTTTAATTTCATCAGGGATCTGGGGATTGATCTTGTGATCGAAGGAACAGGTGTGTTCGTTGACAGGGAGGGTGCAGGCAAGCACATCCAAGCAGGGGCGAAGAAGGTGTTGATCACAGCCCCTGGAAAGGGTGATATTCCAACATACGTCGTTGGTGTCAACGCTGACAGCTACAACCCGGAGGAGCCCATCATCAGTAATGCTTCTTGCACCACCAACTGCCTTGCACCATTCGTCAAGGTCCTCGATCAGAAGTTCGGTGAGCAGCAGTGCCAGTAGTAGTTGGATTCGATTAATAAGTTTTTTTATTACTTGGCAATGGCAGTACACACAGTGACTAGATCTGAGTCTGTATGCGATTATCAATCCCCAATTAATCCAAAAAATCCCAAAATTTATTGTTTGGCATGGGTTGGTGCATGCACTTGCAGGTATAATCAAGGGCACCATGACCACTACTCACTCCTACACCGGAGACCAGAGACTTCTGGATGCGAGTCACCGTGACCTACGACGAGCAAGAGCTGCAGCACTAAACATAGTTCCAACTTCAACAGGTGCTGCCAAGGCGGTGGCCCTTGTTCTCCCAACTCTCAAGGGGAAACTCAATGGAATTGCTCTCCGTGTTCCTACTCCAAATGTCTCCGTTGTCGACCTGGTTGTCCAGGTCTCCAAGAAGACCTTTGCCGAGGAGGTGAATGCTGCATTCAGGGAGGCTGCCGACAAGGAGCTCAACGGCATCCTCTCCGTCTGTGATGAACCACTTGTTTCAGTGGATTTCAGGTGCTCTGATGTGTCTTCCACTGTTGACTCTTCACTCACCATGGTTATGGGAGATGACATGGTTAAGGTGATTGCTTGGTATGACAACGAGTGGGGTTACTCCCAGAGGGTCGTTGATTTGGCTGATATCGTCGCCAACAATTGGAAGTGAGTGAGAGACGACTGAGACTGAGATAGAATATCAATCGCCCCTTGACAATTAAGGAAGGATCCATCCATCCATCCATCCATCCATCTTATCATCTTAATTTTGGATTCCATATTTTTAGGTGTGCCTGCCTATTTTTGTCAAGATTGTATTGAGAATGTAACCCTTGTTTCACTTTCCTTTTATCTTCAATTTCACTTTTCTTAAACCTCAAAATTACTCTTGATCATTTCTTTGTAATTGGTAGACAATTAATTATAACAACCATTAGCATAGCAAAACCATGCATGTTAATTTCTTACGTACTGCTAATATGCTATTAGCATTCATTCATTATCGTGGAGAACGCAACAAAGTTAAAGCAGAGAGGCCGGGCTCCCGCTCACCCACGCACCCAAGTATAATTAAGCAGCCTGATCAGCCTGTAATGTGTAAGACGACCTACGCTACGTACCACTACTTGGTCTTCCTCCCCAGCTGCATTTTTGCAGAATTGCAGCTGCTGGATGATGATGCTAGATCAACTTCAACAATGAAATTAAGCACTTCTACCTTGAAAATAAAAATGACCAAATAAGAAGAGGTCTCAATGTTGAAATTTCTGTTTCTCCACATGCATGACTGCTTCTGCTTGACATTTAACAATTTTACATGGTAAAAATAATAACTGCTTTAATTTTAATTTGGCCCCCAACTTCACCCTGCTAAATTAAGCTGCAATGGAATGCTGCTCAGACTATCCTTCTTCCTACATGATTACTAAAACCAAAAACCTACAGCCGCAAGGTGGAGAATCCATTTGAAAGAAGATAAAATCCTTTTCTCCGAAACATCCACACTAGCCAATAAATTCAAACAAGGGCATCTTTCTTGCACTTGCATGTGTGTCAACCTACCAGCTTATCATATTTCCCCTTGTACTCTTGATGATGAAGATGAACCTATATGCTTAGTTAAGACGGAATTAAGGATATTAAAATATAGTGGCAAAGACCAACTCCCAAGCAAAGAAATCACAGACATGGTGGGTGCAGGCGTGCAGCGGCAAATTCAATTGCAGCAAATGTTGGTCTTGTAATCACCATAAAGGAAACCCTACCAACCATACCCATTACCCATGGTTTTCAAAATCGCACCGGAAAAACCATGTACCGGTTCTGTTTTACTTCAGAACAGTCATTTTGGCCAAAAATCATTGATTTAGTCGGCAAACCGCTGATCCAGGTGGTCGAACCATTCAAACGGTCCTGCAGTTTTTGGCCGTTTTATTAATTTTTTGTCAAAACAGGCTGTCCGTTCACTTTGAATGAATGATTGAACCGTTTGACCCGGAACTGGACACTTGAACGATTCGTTGTCTGGTTCCGTTTTAAAAACCTTGCCATTACCCAACATAATACTTCCCGTTGGCTGTTGTTGATCCTTCACAAACATCTACTCCAATTACGGTGCTGTCCCATTCAATTTCGGTTTTGCTCGCCGAAACTCGGTGGCCCAGAATTTCGAGTTGCAATTGAGTGGGTTTGGGTCGAACTTTAGCCCAACCCATCTAACCTGTCAAATGGCAACCCAAATCCTCCTTAACCCAACCCAACCCACCTAATCCATTAACTCTTTAAACAACACAAACATAAATTGTAAAAACAAGTACAGAAATTATAAAACATATACAACTTGCAAGAAAAAAAGAATAAATTAAGGAGAATATAAAAAGTACAAAAAAATAGTTAAAATTGCAAAAGTATAACCAAAATTATAAAAACACAAAAAAATGAAGAAAATTAATATAAATTGCAAAAAAACAAAAGAAATACCAGAAAATTAATATAAATTGCAGAAACATGGAAAATGAAAAAAAAATTATAAAAATTACAGAAAATATAGAATATCCACCAGAAATAACAGAAATTGAAAAAAAAAGTTGTGGAAAAAAATAACAAAAATTACTGCAAAATATATAAAAAAACAAAAATACCAGAAGGTGCAAAATAAAATATATCAACAATTACAGGAAAACAAAGAAAAAACAGAAATTATAGAAAATATAATATTACAAAAAATAACAAAAATTATAAGAAATATAAACATTATAAAAACATAACAGAACTTATAGAAAGATAGAACCTCTGTTACATTCAGAAAAGGGCTGTGAAAAAAAAAATAGTTTAAGATAACAAACAGGATTTTATTAACACACCACAGGAAAGAAGCATCTTGGGTTCCGCTTCAGTCAAAGCTTTATACGTTCGAACACCATTCGAACATCACGAGAAAAAGACACGCGTTCATAGGTGCGTGTGCATTTTATATACGTGCGAGGATGGTAAACGGACATGAACGCCGTTAGCCATCCCTCGGTTCAAAACATTTTTGCTTTACCCTCTCTATTCTCTTCTTTCCCGCGTCTCTCCGGTCTCCACCCAAATCGACCCGCCGAACCCCTGTTCTGCTATCCTCTCCAACCGGCAAAAAAAAAAGCATCACCGGCGGTAAAATCTTCTTCGGCGATCGGCGACATAGAGGAGGAGGTAAATCTTCCTTCTTCTTTACTTCTCTAAAGCACGGTCTTCTTCCATGAAAAGCCTGACCCATACTGTCGATGACAATGATATTCCGCCGACGACAAATGGCTTCATCTGCAACTGATCCGCCAGCAACCGACGATACCGGCAGTGCAGTAAACAAGGATGAAGATCATGCCACCAAAAGTCCAAGCGATGCCAAGGATGCCAAATCCATCACAATCACCACCTTTGTGGGCCTGGTCAGTCTGGCTTTTGTAACCGATGACCGTTAACTCTAACAAAAGAGTGGCAATGAAGTCAGCGATGAGAGCCCTGTAGAAGGACCACTTGGTCAATTCCATGGCATCGATCAAGGGCGCCGGACGTGGGTCGTGGTAGTCCTCGGCGGAAAAATGGCCGTGTTCAGCAACCTCAACGTCCTTCCCCATGCCGTAACGAGTGCAAGAGCTCGAAAACAATAAGTTTACAAGAGTTGGGAAAGGAGGGGAGGAGAGAAGGCACTCGTTGTTATGCTTGGATGGGAGTAGGAGTGAATGAGAGGAAAGTAAAGTGGGAAGGGGTGAATCTGAGGAAAAAGAAATTAAGGTTTATTAAGTTGATTTTGCCGCCCCAGATCCCACTGAAATCGATTTTGTCCCTGTTTCATGGGCACGGGCCCCTCTCTGGCTGTCTGAGAGGTAATCAAGTGTGGAGATATTTCCATTTTTCTTTTGTTAATAAATTTTCTATGATTTTTCATGGTAAATCAGGAACTGCTGCTGGCCTAGTTATTACCCAAGATTTATCGTCGGTTGCTGGCGGATCAGTTGTAGATGAGGTTTGTCGCCGGCGGAATATCACTGGCATCATCAACAGTAAGGGTCAGGCTTTTCATGGGAGAAGACTGTGTTTTAGAGAAGCAAAGATGAAGAAAGATTTATCTGCTCTATGTTGCCGGTCGTTGGAAGAAGATTTTACTGCCGGTGATGCCTTTTGTCTTCGCCGGTTGAAGAGGATAGTAGAACAGGGCTTCTGCTCTATAAAAGGATGCCTATCTGGCAGTTTTGTCTAAGGTTTTTAAAAACGACCCACAAACAGAACCGGTCAGGAGACTAATTTTCAGTTAAGCGGTTTAACCGTTTGGATCAAACGGTTTGACTCGTAATGTCATAAATAAATTAAAAATAAAAAATATATTTATAAATAATAAAAATAGCATAAAATTAAATAAAATACCAACAAATACAGAAAATAAAACTATCTAAATACAAAAATAATACATTACGAAACATATAGAAAATATAAAAACAAAATACAGAAAAACACAAAAAGATTAAGAAAAAACAGAAAAAAAAACAGAAGAATTCTACAGCTATGGTGCATGTTGAGGATGCTAGGTAGATGGTGTTGGTTTATGGTGCAATTCAACCAGCACAAGAACTTAATATGAAAACTGTTCAAGCCAATATTCCTTGATTCAGTTGATTGTATTATTATGAAGAAATAAAATATTAAAAAATAACAAAATTTAAAATTCATGAATGAACAACCACGGTATCTGATGAAGGGTGATTTGGCCCAACCTCATAGACAGACGACACATGTACGTGACTCAACACAAGTGACAATCTGGCATAAGCCAACTTAGTATAAAGCGAGCTCGGGTATGCTAGTACCCCGAACTGGGACCACCTCAGCCCAAGAACACTTCAGCATTCACAAAGGCAGACCAAAGCACGAGATCGGGAAGCTCGCTACTCACTAGCTCGCTACCAAGCAGCCGGATATCCCGCAGATAGCCCATCTACCGTATAGATCTCCGCATGGCCACCTCAAGGAATGCACCCCCCTTTTTTTCCTGAACCCCACTGGACTGTACTTATAACGATAACATTAGTTCACCAACACCCCGTTTCTGACGGGAAGTGACAGTATTACTGTTTGGTGGCACTTCAACCACCTAACACGTGACAAGTCCCATCGTAACAGAGGTTCAATGACCGTTCCACCTACCCACCTGAGTCAGTGTATAAAAGACCCCGCACTCACCCGAGGTGACTTGCATTGTGTTTTAGAAATCCTGCCAAGTATAATATGAAGTTGAATCCTAGTAAGTGTGCCTTTGGTGTCACCTCGGGCAAATTCCTGGGTTACATAGTTAACCAGCGTGGAATCGAGGCAAACCCCGAAAAAGTCAAGGCTATTCTAGAAATGAAGCCACCTTACAAGTTGAAAGAGGTTCAAAAGCTGAATGGCTGCATGGCTGCCTTAAGCCGCTTCATGTCCAAGTCGCCAGATTGCCGCCTCCCCTTTTTTAAGGCAATAAAGAAAAGTAAAGACTTCGAATGGACTAAAGAGTGCTAACTCGCCTTCAACGAGCTAAAGAAATACCTAGTTAGTATCCCGGTTCTGACCCGACCCGAGGAGGGTGATATTTTAAAGTTGTACCTCTTTGTGAGTGATGAGGTGGTCAGCTCGGTACTTATAAAAGAAGTAGGTCGGGTCCAACGACCTATCTACTACGTAAATAAAGTTTTGCAGGATGCAGAAAGCAGGTGCCCAGAGATCGAGAAGCTGGCATATGCACTGGTCACGGCAGCTCGGAAGCTCCGCCTGTATTTCCAAGCCCACACTATCGTAGTCCTCACAAATAAGCCTTTGAGACAAGTCTTACTCAAGCCCGAGGTATCTGGCAGACTTACGAAGTGGGCCATCGAACTTAGCA